CATGAAGACAAAGAAATGGATAAGTGTCATCCAAGAGGGGAGGGATTAGGAGGTAACTTTGATTAATATTAATGACATCTTCTGTTTTTTCAATACCTAGAGGTTGGGATAGTGGGATATATATTTTTTCTTTAAAAAATTGTTTGTGATTCATGGATTATGGTGACAAATATTGTAGTAAAACTTAATAGATACTTTTATCTTCCATGCGCCATTGGTCAGCTGTAGGTCTTTAATTACCCATTCCACATAATAGTTAGAGTCTGCTCCTCGATGTGCCTGGTATTCTTTATAAGGACAATAAAGGTCACCTTCATAAATTCTGGAAAACAACAACAGCAATCTCTACTTTGGTCCTGGAGAAAGTGAGCAAAAGAACGAGATGTGACAGAGAACCTGTATGATAAGAACTTTAGTCTTTAAAGAAAGATATTAAAGAAAACACCAGAAAGTGGAAAGATCTCCCATGCTTTGGGGTAGGTTCAACCTGAAGGTCAAAAAAGCAAAGCAGCCAGCCACTGGTTCTTACCTCTACCTAAGTATGAAATGACAACCTGCCTCCAAGAATCTCAGAATGAGACATTATCTGAGAACTGTCTCCTCCCATCTTATAACCCTTTCTAGTTCTCAGATTAAGGGAGCACACCACTACTGTTGGGTTTCTATGGTAAGCTAGTGTGCCTTCTTGGATTAAAGGAGTGTGTCATTGCTGCCTGGTATCTAAGGCTGGACAATGTGACTATTTTACTTTTCTGATCCTCAGGCAAGCTTTATTTATTAAAATACATATGACTATAATATATATTAAATTTTTGTCATGATATTAATGGTCATATATAATACTAACTAATTCAAGGAAAAAGTTTCATCTACATTCCTGTGCAAGATATCTGATTTGAGTCTCTGTAAGTTTTTTTTTTTTGGTTAACAAACAGTTATTTATTTCTGTCACTATTATTATGTTGATATTGATATTTTTATTGTTTTTATTGAGCTATATATTTTTCTCTGCTCCCCTGCCTTCTTCTCCCTTCTCTTTGTACACTTTCTTGTGATCCCCATACTCCCAGTTTACTCAGGAGATTTTGTCTTTTTCTACTTCCCATGTATATTAAATCCATGTATGTTTATCTTAGGATCCTCTTTGTTTTCTAGGTTCTCTGGGGTTGTGAAGTGTAGGCTGGATTTCTATCCGTTTTCTTCAGTGAACCATGAGAATACCTAACAATGACCTTTGAAGTTTCCAAAAACCAGGATGGGGCCCAACAATGACAATTCCTCCAGGACTATGATAACAACACTAAACTGAAAAACACCACTTAAAGACAGGTTTTGGACTACAAACAGATCAAATTTATTTTGAGGTGTCTTCCTGAGATGATCTGGCCTCACAGACTATTCTAGCCAGAAATTTAGACAAGCCGTGCACGTTTTCATTACAAAGAGACTTGACAACAAATGATACAGCTTCCTCTCCCAGGACTTGACAATCAACCCAAATTTTTCTTTTCAGGGTTCTCAAAAGATGTCATCGCCCCCATATAGCAGGAAGCAAATTTAAGATTACAATGGCCACATTCCCGAGAAGTGGGGTGGGTAGTTTTTGGTCATTCAATGGGCTATGGATATTTGTCATTGTTTATGGGAATTGGTTAAAAGTTGTTATTTGTTATGGTCAGGAGGAATATTGAACAAAGGAGATTAGATTCAAAATTCTTGTTTTGAAAAGGAAAAAGGAGTATATAAATGATAGAATTGAAGGGTAGATTATTGAGTCTACTCTGAAAAGAAAACAATGAGGATATAGATTGATAAGATAAAAGATTAATGACTCTAATTTTTAAAAGCAACTACTGGTTTTAGATAGTTTACATTGTACTTGTGTATTTAAATTTTGCATATTGATACAAATTTTAGATAGATTTTGTTAAGACATACTGAACATACATTTCTAATCTTATTGAAATTATTTTTCCATACAGCTCATTTAACAATGTAATGCAAAATTCTAGTTCTAGAAAGTTATACTTACCCACTGTAGTAGTTCACACCTTTAACCGCAGTACTACAGAGGAATATGAAACAGAAGGAGATAGAAGGAGCTTAGTGCTTCAGTCTGCAGTTTACAGTCACACTGAGGATAGGATTACTCAGCCTTGGAAAAGGCAAAAACTCTAGTAATTGGTTGCTTTGCTTTCTGAACTTCATCTTGAACTTCAATATCTGTCTCTGGGTTTTTTTTTATTTGTGCTAGACTCCTTGCTCCTTTATTATCACTGTGGGGGGACAGCCTTACCCACTTCATCAGACCCCACTATTTAGTTGTATTTTTAGGGGTATCCACTTTGCTCACTCCTTCCTAGTATTAGCAACCTGTCCTATACTTTTGCTGAGTACTGATCTATTAGCCAGGGTGGGAGTATCTGTTTCTTTTGCTCCCCTGTTTACATGACCACAGGATCTCTGTCATTCACCCCTTCTCCAAACCACACAGTCTGACACAACTTATCCTCCACTGGCTTACTAGGTGTATCCCCAAGTATGGGACACCCAAAACCCCTCTATAGCCAATCATCATTCCCCCTTTTCATCCAATTGTAAACTCCTACCAATTACATCATTCAGGTTCAACATCCACTCTCTCTTTAAAGTTTTAGGGAACTTAAGTCTCTTATCTCTGACCTCATAAGAAAGACTCTTCTGTGCCTTCACATCTTCCTCCATACTTGTGGTTAAAATCCCAACAGAACCTACTACTTGGCTCAGGATCTCCAACTTAACCAACTTGGAAGTGTTTTTCCTTCCCTCTACTACCCAACCCATATAGCATAAACCCTAACCAAAAGGCTGAACAGCTCTTACCCATGCCTTTCAACTAGCATGGAGACTCAGTCACTCTGAACCAATATTCAGATTTGACCTATGCTACTGATTTGATTCTCTTAAGAACTACAGGAATCATTTGTTTATGCTGGCTTGTTCCACTCATTAAGTTTGGTTCCAGATTCTATTGTTCTCCTCTTCAACTCTTTCTTCATTCTACTTGCTTTAAATATCCATCTCTCTTTGCCTACTCAGTAAGTGTCCTCTTTCTGGGTCCTTGAGCCTGATATGCCCTCCACTGCCCCACTAAATGGGCAACTCTCTAGTCATTAAGACACTTGCTCCACTCCATCTATTAGAACCCTCCCTGTTTCCTTGTCTCTTTACCTTAGTAGCTGCCTGCTAAATCTTGCAGCATCTTTAAGAACTTCTGGGTTTTTATGATCATGTCCTGATGTCTGCTAGCTCTGTCCTGGAAGTCTCACAGGTTCTTTATGTCATCATGGGTTTCTCTCTTGCCTCTCAGCTCCCACTTGGCGCTGATAGAAACTCCTTCTGTTGGAGTTCATTTTGCAATCTTTCTTATATTCCCCCATGAACTTAATTTTTATTAAAGATACACTCTATAACTATAAACAGCTTAACCTAAGTACAGTTCAATGGCCAAAACTGGCATACTCAGTTTTCAATTATGGCAGCTAATGTCATTGCATAAACAAATGATTTGAAAATCTCTTATATCCAGACTTGTTCCTTCTTTCTCTATTTCTTCCTATATATACCTGTTTGTAGTGTCTCTTATATACAGATGTTTATTGTCCAAGAGACCTGCCCCTCTAACCAACAGCCTGTTCTAATAACGTCAGGAAACTGATCTATAACAGACTGTCAACAACTGACCCAGTTCTCTTTGACTCCTTTATTCACCTCTACTTCTTCTGAGCTTAACCCATTGCCATTTTCTCTATTTTCATATGGTTTTCCTGTCCCAAAACCATAAATAATAAAAACAGGGTTTATGAAAGACAGGATTTTAAAAATATTTTTTTTATTTAATACTGTATTAAAATGTCACCTCCAGGTATATACTCATATACTAGAATGTAGCTCATGATGGTACCTGAACTTTTCAATATAAGTCTCCTACCTTGTATAAGTTTTAAAAGACATGAACAGTTCATGGAGAGCAACTGAGACTCATTGGCACTGTGTGGCAGGATTGAAGTTCTTAAAGAGAGGCCAGGAGAGGCTATTGATGAATATGTAGCTCAGTTGCAATGAGAGTCTAAGAAAGTGTATTAAGGTCTGAGAATGAGAAAGTTCAAGAATGTTCCAAAGGTATAAGAAAGTGTTTTCTGGTATGTAATTTATGCAGTTTCTGTGTGGTTATTTTGGTAATGAGCAGCCAGGAAAACACAAGCGGCCTCCTACTACAAACCGATGATAGCATTTAGGAATATATACTCTCAGGGATGGACCATATGTATGTTTTAATAAAATGAGATAAAGACTGGCTATTAAGGTGAAAGAGCCCATGTAGATAGGATAGAATTTGCAGAGTGTCTGAGGATGATAATGGAGATGTAGACTGTAAAGTAAAGATGGCTGATGATATGTGGGAGGGTCCAGTCCCCTGAGAATCATGGCTCTAGCTACATTGCTGGGTTGGTTATTTTCATAATAATGATAATGGAATTGATAATAGAATTGTGTGCTTGGTACAGTTGGCAGTGGGAAATCCCTATGATTGTGGAAAGATGAGAGGCTTTTAGCAGGCTCATAATTTGGTCTAAGTTGAGTATTGGCACTCTCTTTGTGTTAGTAGTTCATGATCCTTCCAGATAGCTACCTATGAGAGAAGAACATGAAAACCTATATGGAGTCTTTATTAAGGTTTAGAGACTGTCCATTTGCTAATTGAGAGGAATGGGTAAGAGCCATTAGTTTGGCCTACTGGTTTGTGGTTCAGGCTAGAAGTCTCTGCTGACACTTACAAAAGGGTTAATAATCAGTAAAAGAAGGGGTCATATGAGGAGCCAAGGGCTACCTCATATAGGTGGTTAGAAAGAAAAGAGAAAGAAGGGATCCAAGAGCAGGAGAAACCAGTCATGCCATATGGTGGCTCACGTCAATCTATAATCTGACATGCAGGCAGGCATACAGACAGAGCAATTGTATACATAAATAAATAAATTTTAAAACAAACAAAAAGCTTATATGGGGAAATGATACATTTAAAAAATAATTAGCAATGGTATAGCCTGTATGGTGATATATAACTATAATTCCAGTCATCTGGGAATTACAGAGAAACCAAGTTACAAAATAAGTATTATAGAAGGGGGTGGTGGTACAGATTAATAGTGAATGCTTGACAGTCATGTGAAAGTAGGTTTAATTTATATATCAATACAGTAAAAAGACAGTGTAAACAAAATGGATATTTGTAACCTGTAATTTTTTTCTTCTGGGGACTTGTTAGTGCAGTGCTATGAATGATCAAACAATAACATAAGTATTTTGTTCTTAAAACTCAAAAGTATGTAAATATTATAAGTCTATGCATCAAATGTATAAGAAGGCTCCTTATGAAACAAGGAATGAATTAAAATGGCTTGCATATGTATGCAATTCTCAAAAATTAAATTAAGAGAGTAAAATGGCATTCCTTGTAATAGTTCTTAGTCCACTGTAATTAAAAATTGTAAACTGAGAAGCAAACTCCAAAAATATTTTGACAAGATTTCTAGTGAATAAAATTACAGTGTGTATGATATTAGTTTTAATCATGTCTAGATCTCCATTCATGTTTGTCATTAAATTTTGTAAAAAATAAAAAAGTTAACTGTTTCTAAAAACATTTGGAGACTGAGACAACAAACATCTTTCCTGTGGTTATTAAATTATTTCCAGAATTTCACTTTCTGTTCATTTTTTTAATATTCAAGGCATTTCAAAGAGAAAGTAATGAAGTAAAAGTTCATAAGTGGCCATAAAAGTAGAGGTCACAAAAAATTTCATTGTACTTTAGGCTTAAAATATGAGTACCAACTCATACCTGAACACCTATTTAATGTACAGTCATCTACGGTCTCTCTCCCAAGTATCTGAAAGTATAGTCCTCTAAGATAGTTTTCATCCCTGGTGCCATCACACATTATGAATTGATTTGATATAATGTAACATAAACCATGGGTAAGATATAACAGGTTTTTCACAAATACTTTGACAATTTCTCTACCTTAGATAAAAAATTACTGGGCACTAAATACTAATATGTGTAGCTGTTGTGTTTGCTACAAATACAGTATTTTTCTACGAAGCTCTTGTTACTGGAGATCTCCTTCATAGACAGTATGGCCCAGTTGTCATCTCCTAGGACAGGTTCCCTAAAACAGAAAACAAACAAAATTTCTACAGAGGCCAGCAGTGCATTCACTCCCACAATAAAATATCACCCTACTTTACTGGTTATTTGTAGTATGAATCAAAGAAAGGCAAAATCCATGGGAAATCAGTGACACTGGTTTTTACCTAATGTCTTTTACATCCCAGGGGTCAGATTGAACAATACACCATTGCCATTAATCCATGGTGAACCCTGTAATGTGTATAGAAGGCATTTGCCAGAATCAAAAGAACTGGTACCATGGTTTGCCTCACTGAGGGTGATACTAAATTCTACCTTGACATATTTTATACATGTATACAAGTACAGAAATCCCACTTCATAATCAATTACTAACAAGGCTTTAATGATAAAAGTGACTGGCTCTGTCATTTTTGTCATTTCAGTGAAATGATTCCTTTCAAAATTACTATCTATGCTTATACCCAGGAGCCGTCTCAGTGTTCTTCAATGATGAGACTTTAGAGGAGGTTCCTAAGGTCCCAGAAGTCTCTGTATCTGAGAACAGGTGCAGCTGTGTAACAGTTGTCTGGAAAGTCCTACTTGAGCCAATCTGCAATGGCTTTCTAGGGTTTCAGGGCACTCACTGCAAATCTTCAGTTCTGTAGACAGCCCACAAGGTCATTTCTCAGCAGGAAATATTATACGTTGGTGATGGAACAGAAAAGATTACCCATGATGCCATTGTCATGTTAAAGATTTCAAGACAAACCACACTAGGTAAATGCTTTGAAGATGATGGATAATAAACAGGAAATCAAGGAGTTGGAAGTTTTCCTGTCCTCACCTCTCACTCCCTGTTCCAGGAACTACTTCCAAATTTAATATTATTTATAAATGCTTGGCCAATAGCTCAGGCTTATAACTAGCTAACTCTTACATTTTAATTAACCCACATTTCTATTTATGCTTTTCTACATAATTCATGACTTACTACCTCATTTTTTACACATCCTGCTTGCTCGAGAGCTGGCCTGCATCTCTCAAGACTCCCCTGACTCAACTGCTCCTCCTCCCATTAATCTCACTGTGTCAGTCTGTCTTCCCAAATCTCTTCTTGCTCTGCTATTGGCCAATTAGTCTCTTATTAACAATGAATATAATCCAAAGCATTGAGAATTCAAAGAATTTAAATTTGATGTAGAGCTTGCTGGGTATTGGTTCTCGCACATAAGCATACACCATGACTCAGAGCCAACCTCAAGACCAAAGGCTTATGTTTTTTGCTTTCCAGAACAATTGGCATTACACGACACTGATTTTTATCTCTCATAGGCACAATTCACACACCACAATATAGGAACATAGTAGAAAGAAAACTGGTCTGAAAACATACAAGTTATTATATTCAGTGCTGTTTGTCCACTTCCAAGGGTGTTGTAATGATTCTCTGTGCAAGCCAATCCAGTACTGAAATTTCCATGCATATGTCTTCAGGAAATTCTGTCATAAGACATTAAAAGCAAACACATGTGTCTCTTTGTTTCAAATGACCATTGAGTCTCCCTGACCTATAGCCTCCTCTCTGGATGGAAGCAGATTATAACTGAGAGTCATAGACTTTGGAGCCAGTACAATAATCAGATTTCAGTGTATGCACTTTACTCTCACAATCTAAAATATATTGGTGGCCCTCATTTTTTTTTTCTGGCTAGAATCATCCCTTAGTAAGCCTGGTCTTCAAGTTATTAACAGTTTGATGTGGAAGTGATTTCTTTCTAATCTATTGCTTTCATTGGTTAATTAATAAAGAAACTGCGTAGGCCCATTTGATAGGCCAACCCTTAGGTGGGTGGAGTAAACAGAACAGAATGCTGGGAGAAAAAAGCCGAGTCAGGCAGTCGCCATGATTCTCTCACTCCAGACAGACACAGGTTAAGATCTTTCCTGGTAATCCAGCTCGTGGTGCTACACAGATTATTAGAAATGGGTTAGATCAATATATAAGAGCTAGCCAATAAGAGGCTGCAGCTAATGGGCCAGGCAGTGTTTAAAAGAATTCAGTTTCTGTGTAATTATTTCGGATAAAGCTAACCAGGTGGCGGGAAGCGGCCCGCTGCTCCTATTACTACAACAGTTGCCACATTCAGTATGCAATACTGGCCAACATGGATAAAGACTTCCATGATTATCATGTATCTTAGTGGATTGTTTGGCCATGCAGGTTAACAATAAGTATGAAAGCATGTCTCTGGAGTGGGGCTCCAGTCAGAAGCAACCACATTAGCAACTGCATACACTAATATGTGACCTTTGTCCTTCACAAAAGAAGAAGGGTAGAATCCCTCCACAGGCTTCATATTTAACCTTCCCATCACAAGGCAATACAAATTCAACATAACAAACAACAAACCAATTCCTGATGCTTTCTTACCAACTCCTCCAGAGTTTCAAATCCAGCTAGTTGGGCCTCATGTGCCATGCAGTAGTTCTGGCTTAATGTCCAATTTCTCTCAACTTCAGAAAAATAAAAACATTTACTTCCAAGTCCAATCCAGTCATTTGGACAAGTGGCAAAGCATGGTGCAGGGGGCGAAGTGACTGCATTTTCCTTTTTCACTAAAATGCAGACAGTGCAACAAAATGATGTAACAAAGAAAAGTGTTCATGTCATATCCTCTTAGCTACCCATGCAAATCTCAGTTTTGAGGTATGTGCTTGTACTATAGCTCTACTCATTTATTACTAGAAGACACATCATATCATGATGGTCCACAACCCAGGACTTTCCAGTGCTCTGAGGAAATGCTTTATTTTTCTTCTCTGTATTTTGTGTTTTGAGACAGAATCTTGCTATATCCCCTGCTTGGACTGGATCTCACTGTGTGAATTGTATTTGTCTGGAGCCTTTACTAATCCTGCTATGTATGTCTCCTTAGTGCTGGGACTAAAGACACTATGTCCTGCAAGAAAATCATTTCTAGGCCATCAGCACCTTGGGAGTGAGAGATCTAAACTTCCTCCATTTTAAAAGCTAGAATTAAGTTTCAGTTTCTTAAACAAAGGTCTAATAATCAACAACACCCCTGACAACAAAGACAAGGGGGAAAGAGCAGAGAGCATGTACATGGCCTTAATAAGCAATACAGTATCTCAAAGCAATGACCAAAAAAAGAATGGTTCCTATAATAACTGGAACAGGACATACTTTGACTTTCCTAAGTATGCCCAAACATGGAAAAATAAGTCAAAAATATTATAATGTAACCTTAGAAATGACATAGCTGTTCCTGGAATTTCCCTAGCTATGGTTAAAAGGAACTGTTTGTCTTTGTTCCTTCCGGGTTGTCAATTTGTACAAGTGGTAGATCCCACATGCTTGAATAAATAAATGCTCTTTGTTTTTGTCTACTATTTGAATCTGGGTCTTCATTCAGTGATTCTCATACCCTTTAAAGAACTATTCCTGATTCCCGAAATCCTATAGCTCTTTTTCCCATAATACTTCACATCCTCCTTATTTCTTAAAAAATAAATAAAAAAAGTAACTCACTTGCCTGAATTTTACTATAGAGAAATGACATTGTGTAAAACATAGACATGGCAAAATCAATCTTCTATATCAAATCTTTTATAATTCTACCACACTGAATATATATATATATATATGCATACATACATACATACTGGTTCTTATAGAGCTGCTCAGAAAGGCTATTATAGACAACTCTGATAACTGATGTTAAAAAATGTGCAAAAATATGGACATTCATAAACTGCTGGTGGGAGTCAAAATTACATAGCCAGCTGGAGATTTTTCAATGAAGTTTAAAGTAAATATACTACATGACACAGCTATACCACTCCTAAGCATATGTGGAGCAAACTCACATCCTGCTACAGAGATACCTGTACATCCATAGCTATTGCTTCCCTATTTACAATAGTAACGAAATGTACTTGCTCCTAATACCCATCAAATAACAGATAATTAAATGTATTATACATATGAAACAGGATGTTATTCAGCCAAAAAGAAAAATGGAATTTAAGGAAAGTATGCTATCAAGTTAGGTCACACAAAATAAGAAAGAAAGAGGCCCAGGTATTCTGTCAAATGCAGTCCCAGCCTGTGATATACAGTGTGAACAGCTGTGAGTGTGGGCATGATTAACACATAGACAGGAGAACAAGTAAGAGAAGTGTAATGTGACCAGGACAAACAAGATATAACAAGGGGCTAGCAAGTTGTGAGAAATGGCTATAGAGACAATTGTTTTTGTAGTTTCTGCCCTATCATATTTTTTCGGATAAGTGCATAAAAATGGGATTGACAGTGAAAGTCTAAACCCATAACCAAAGCTCCACAATTTCAGAATAGCTCTTCTAATTGTGTGGAATGTCAATGAGATACATTCAATGAGATACGTAGGGCTTGGGACTTGACAGGTGTTGGAGGGGCTATGCTAATGGAGCTGTGTAATTTGTTCATTTGTGATTTTATCACAATAGAGTGAATGTGTGCACACATGTGGTGTGTGTGTGTGTGTGTGTGTGTGTGTGTGTGTGTAAGAAGCTCTGAATTTCAAAGTACAGTTTAGAAGAATAACAATTTTTCAGTCATACCTTCAACATTTTTATCCTTTACTGGACCAGAACACTTTTCTCCTGAAGAGATTCTAAATCCTAGAAATAAATGATTTCATAAGAGATAATAAATATCAGAAATGGCTCCCACACTAATTTTTAATAGAAGGAAATTGGTTGTCACTGTTACCAGTTCTCACACCCTGTACACCGAAGCTTCATCGAATAGGACAAATACAACAGATAGCGAGGATAACTATCACGTCTTTCTATCTTGCTCTTTTCAGAGCTGTGTAATAGTTTAGGTTACACTGACTAAGACTTTTTAAAAATTGTTTGTCTATGTATAGTCCTGTGTATATTCACCAACATGGTTAAAGTTTATTTTTATAAAACAATATCGCAAAACATTTATGTGAGCTATGAAAAAGGGTGTGCAAAATTATATCAGATAATTCTGAACAGTCCACAATTAAAAGCTTAGGAAAGGCATACATCTAGAACTGGTATGTTCAATATTTTCAGAGTCTGGTTGAAGACATTAACTGAAACCAAGAGTCATGGTGTGTGGGGTTCTGTGCATTCTTCCAAACAAAAACTCTTCATTGTCCTCACTTCCCTCAGGTGCATCAGCCTCCTTGAACTTTCTTCTTTGAAATTTCTTGTCTTTGTTCACTGCCTTGAATAGTTTTCCTAGGTGAATATATGTCTTCTACATCTCTGTCTAAATGTTGCCGAATGCCATCTTCCCAGGGATGCTGAGCTTGATCTCCTATGCACACTACACCTCATGCTGTTCCATCAGTGCATCTTCCTACTAGCTCCTAAATTCCCAGAGAAAACGTTTCTCTAGAGCCTTTCCTATAATGCCTGGCTCACGGTGATCAGTAAGTATAACTGAAAATGTGAATGTCTCAGAAAAAATACTACTTACCAGTGCAGGAGCAGGGGATTAGAAAAGTTAGTAAAATATATGAAGACTTGAGTGAAAATAATAAAAGAAAACATAAGACGGTAACAGGAAGGAGTTCCAGTGAATACTGAAATCACCCACATTTAATTTTCTGTACATTTTTATATCCCAATACAATAGGGGTAAGAACACAAAAAACTGCTTTAACATAATTCAAAGGACTACTAGAGCAGTTTTGCTTCAATATTTTGAGCCATCAAGCCATTAATCCAAAAAGCATTCTGTAGTTTATTCAGTGAATCCACCCTAGACAAAGTATATTGAAGGTAGTGACTCCCAAGGTCAAACCTCCTATTTCAAAAGAAGGAGCAGAAGTATGCTTGAACTTTTGACCATTTGTCAGAAGGGATTGGGACTACCTTGATGGAACATTTTAATGTCAAAATGATCAAGTAAGCTCACCCTAGGTCAGGGTGTGTAGCCACACTTTTTTCAACAACTTTTAGCAAGCTAAAACTCTCTGACCCTCAGGCAAGGTGGAAATAGGCTCACATTTTTGGGCCTCCACATCAATGTGATAGAATGTTGCAGAATTTGGACAATGAAGCACGTACCTGACAAAGCAAAAGAAAGTGCAATTACAGTTACGCTGAGGACCATGATCACTGCATAGCAGCAGTAAAGCTTAACACGAGGCTGGGTGGGGCTCTTTCTGAGACATTTTCCTTGCTGTTTTTTACCTAGAAACATAAATATCAGAATATCAACCTCAAGAACCTTTCAGGGAAAAAATAAGTTTACCCAGAATCAACTATATATTTCACTTGTACCCCCCTCCTGCAAATGCCCTTCACAGAAGTTCCTGGTCCATAAATGATACCCTTAACTTGCAAAACATTAGAGGAAAGGGAAACATTACTTTTTGCTATGATTTTTTAGTTATTGAATTAGGGACCAGTAAAAGAGAAAGAAACAGAAACAGTGGAGATCATGGAGAAAAGAAAATAACAACAAAAACCACCCATAGATGCTTTTATCCTGTCTCTTGTATTATTTTTATTAAAAAGCTGCTTGACCAGTAGCCAGGCAGGAAGCAAAGGCAGGGTAATAAGGCAGGAAGTAGAGGCAGGTAAATGAGATTTCTAAGAAGAGGGAAGTTTTAGTCTGCAGTAGTGACCCCAGCCATAGAGGAAGCAACATAGCAAGATGTGAATGCCCTACCAAAAAGGTATCAAGCCACCTTGTCTAACACGGACAAGAATTATGGGATAATATAAGTTATAAGAGTTAATAAGAAGCCTGAGATACTAGGCAAGGCAGTTTATAATTAGTGTAGACCTCTGTGTGGTTTCTTTGGGGCTTAACAACTGCAGGAACGGGGCAGGACAGAAAACTCAGTCAACACATAGATTTAGTGCTATAAAAAGAGACCTGCTTGGTTAGGACTGATGAGACTGTAATAATAATAATAATAATAATAATAATAATAATAATAATAATGAAAAGAAAATATGTGTGTAAGGTGGGATGGCACAGGATTTCATACACTAGCAATTGTCAAGTACAAACAAATGTATAAATACTGTAGCTCTCACAGTACTATCAAACACACAATTGTACACGTAATGGAACATGCTCATATTCAGTTGCTGGAAGAGCAGCAACAAAGGCTTTTAACCTCTGATTCACTTCCTACGCGTTTTCATTGGGTTCCAAAAGATCTCAATACATTGTAGGTACAATTTCTTTTGAGAGATAGAAAAAAATACAAAATATCAGCAATAAAATATAAAACCCTTGGCAGTACATTTTTATCCTTTTATTACTTTTTCAGGAACCAGAGCAGAGGAATTTCATTATTCTAAATCCAATTTATTTTTCTGTGTATAGCTAAAGAAAACTCTGCCTGACAAAAGTTCACTGAGATTTTCTTTTTATTTTTTCTTGTTCAAATAGATTTAAAGTTCTAGATTTCATATTTGGCTCTATTGTCCATTTTGAGACATTTATTGTACAACAAATGAGGAATGAGTCATAACCATAAGAACTAACTGTCTTAGCATCATATGCAGAAGACATAACATCCATTTTTTACCTATGAAACCTGTAAACTGAGACTGCTTTTCCATTTCCCGGCTGGCCAGACCCTAATAATCACAGAGAAGCTATATTAATAAAACACTGTTTGGGGAATGGCTCAAGCATATACCTTGTAAGCTCTTATATCTTAAATTAACCCATTTCTATTAATCTATGTGTCACCACAAAACTGTGAGCTATGGGTAAGTTTCCAGTGTCTTTCTCCATCAGCAGCTACATGGAATCTATCTGACTATACCTTGTTTTCTGCTCTATCTCTGCTTGGATTACCTGCCTTGCTATATTCTGCACTGTCATAGGTCAAAGCAGCTTTTTTTGTTAACCAAAGGTAATAATCCTACTCACAACATACAGAGAGGAATCTCACATCTCCTCTGTATGTTGTGAATACCGTTGGTTAATAAAGTACTGCTTTGGACCTATAGCAGGGCAGAACCTAATTAGCTAGGTGGAGAAAACTAAACTGAATGCTGGGAAAAAGGAGGCAGAGGAGAGAGAATCCATTGAGCTGCCATGGGAAGCAGCCACGCCAGAACCTTGCCAGTAGGCCATGGCCCTCATGGTAAAATGTAAAATAATAGAAATGGGTTAAATTAAGATACAAAAGATAGCCAATAAGAAATTAGAGCTAATAGACCAAGCAGTGATTTAACACATTTTCCCTGTGGTTATTTCGGGAGTCTGGGAGACTGAGAAATGAACAGTACTTGGACATTGTTTTCTTCCAGTTTCTTTCTGCTGTTTGTTGAGCAAAGTATTTTTAAGGTTCACAGAAACCTTTTGGAGAAATCTTGTTCCCTCAAACAACATTAGCCAGGAAGGAATTCAAAGATTTCCATTTTCTGTGGAAACAAAAGCAGAACATCTTTTCCAAAGTAACATATCCTTAGACTCAAATTTTGAAGTAAATATATATGTTTGTTTAGCTTAGCAGCCCCTAGAATCAAATATCTCTCTGCTGTCAAGAAATTCAAAGAAAGCACAACAATATACATAATCCAGATTCTCTGTTTATTTTTCATCATTACATAGCTTAATTTTAATTCTATCAGTTTTTCAATATTTATTTTATTGTCTTTACTCCTTTATTTATGATTGTCTGTATTCTTTTCTCTCTCTCTCTTAAGCCCATGTATATTTATCCAACACTGTGACCCATTCAGAGGTCTTTTTCATCTGATTCTGTCTTATTGTGTATCTGAAATCCTGTAAGCATTTTCTGACCAGGAAATTTTTTGTTATTTTTTTTTCAAATGAGTGTCTAAGACTAATGCTATGGCTTTGCCTGTTGACTCTGTCCAGTCCAAAATGGTGGATGCATGTTCAATGCCTCTACAAGCCATGCTGACTGCCCCAGCTTCAGGGGCACAGAGGGTCTATGTCACCATTAAGCAACTTGTATCACTCTGCTCACAAACCTTAAGTGAGCTGTAGAGGGAACTCTAGAAAAATCCAGAGCCCTTTTTGCTTCCAGAATGAACCAGGAAGCCATTTCTTATAGGAAGGAGACATGCCTCTCCTTGCAGCCAGCAAACAGAGCCTATCTTAAAAAAAAAGACATGAGACTACTAAGTAGCTGCACTTGGCTCCCATTTTTTTGTGGGTCTAGAAGCTGGTGTAGGAGTTCCTTCTGTTTGTGAGTTGCTTTCATTGGTTAAGAACTTGTCCTAGTTGGTGTGGCAGAATTTAGGTAGGCAGAGAAGACAGAACTGAATTCTGGGAGAAAGAAAGCAGAGTGGGAGAACTGCCATGGTGTCACTAGAATCAGACATGCTGAATCTCTCCCAGTAAACCACGACCTCGTGGTGATATACAGATTAATAGAAATGGGTTAAATCAGTTAGCCAATAAGAGGCTAGAGATAATGGGCCAGGCAGTGCTTTAATTAATACAGTTTCTGTGTGGTTATTTTGGGTGTAAGCTAGCTGGGCGCCCGGGACAAACAAAAGGCCACCCTCCTCATGCAACAAGAAGCACTATGTTTTCTTTGAGCTTTTGTAGGTCTTATGTGGATCCATGCCAGACATAAACACCTTTTCATAAACTGAGTTGGCTTTTTCTTTTCCTGGCCACCCAGACATGAATAATCACACAGAAACTATATTGATTACAACACTGATTAGCCAATTGTTCAACTGTATTTCTATTTAGTTCTTATATCTTAAATTAATCCATTTCTATTAATCTATGTATCATCATGAGTCTGTGGCCTACTAATAAGGTTCTTGTGTCTTTATCTGTCAGAAGGAACATGGCATCTGCCTGACTCTACCTACTTTCCTTCTCTATATCTGCTTGGATTTCCTTACTTGATATATTCTGCCCTACCATAGGTCAAAGCAGATTCTTTATTAACCAATGGTAAAAAATAAAAGAACATATTCATAGCATACAGAGGGGAATCCCACCTCAGACTTCATGTTTCCATCTTTATCCACTTTTGAATCATTTATTTTGCAATGGATAAGAATCATCACTAGGGGAAGTCACTGTCTTAGTATCATATGTAGAAAAGATACCATCCTTTCTCTACCTAAGAAATGTCACTTTGCCCATTTTACAGTTCACAGACACACACATTATAAACCCATATTGATTTTTAAAAATAAAAAATATACCAATAGAAATGACACACTCACAGTAAACATATCCATTAAAATGCTTGGTATTACCTATGTTTGGGGGAAATATAGTTTAGTATTTTGCTAAAATTTGAATACATTTACCTCACAACCTAGATCTAAGAAAAATGCCTGTGTTTACATAAAAAAGCCTATCTGTATTATAGCAACTTTTTAAATTTAGTCTGTGGTTTGCAGCAACTCAAATATCCCTGAGCTTGTGATAATATAAAACAATTTTACTCAGAACTGGGGAAGTGATAAAAAAGAAACCTGGACCTCAGTATTGCATTTGCCCATTTCTTGTGCTGGCTAAATGTTCCTCATTTTTCTGTTCCCAGAGGGAAAATCTTGTTGCCCACTTAAGTAACCCTTAAGTAGTTGGCACCAAAAGCAGTTGGCCTCAGGCCAGCAAAGCAGCTTATTGGATAAATATGTATTATATTAAAGCCTCATATCATGGATTTAATCTGTGAAACATACAGAAAAGCAGGAGATAACCAAATACAGGTAGCTGTTTTATTGACTTTAGACGTGAGTCAAGGCTCATGTGTGAACCACATCAGCACCACCATCACCACCAAATCCCAAATAGCAACCAAATCCCACACAGCCCATTTGCAGTTTACTTGGAGAAGCTGACCTCACAGCACTGGTTTTCTGCTGAGAAATTCCGACTATCTTCTCTCATTTTGCTCACTCTCTTACCCACCAGTTTCCTGTAAGGTTTCCCTGACATGTTTGAAAAACTGTTTTTGTATTCAGGTTTGAAATACATGCTCTGAATATCTACAGTCCATGCCTCAATCAATCATGTTCTGGAATCTCTTCTACTCTAGCTACTGTGTTCATAGTTGACACACAGCTGTGAAACTCACTGTGGATGAATCTCAAATGCATGATTTCTGCAGGGATCCAGCTACATGATATTCTTGGAAAGCAAGTGTGTAAGAGCAAAAAAAAAAAAAAAAAAAGAGCAAAGATGCCATAGGCTGGGTACAGAGGAAAGGAGTGTTTAC